GCCGCATCCGGCCCCCGGGCCTTAGGTTGCCTACCCCTGAACTTGAGGGCAGTTAACAACAACAAACAATCTTTTTGAACTGAGAGTTGACTCCCATCCCAATTCTAATTCAGTGAATAAATCTGGCATAAGAGTCTCAAAGGACTTTGAAGTAATTTTCTGCAACACTGATGCTACACTAGTATCTTTCCTCTTTTCTGTGCTCTCACCCTGATCTGGAACTTACAGATCTTAGGTGACTATCTAATTAGACCTTTGAACTTATTCATTTCAAATAATCTAGATTTAATTTTATTCTTCATCTCTTCCCTGCCAAATCTGTAATCTCTTTAATATTTCTTTCATTTGACAGTGAAGGGCAAACACATTCGGTCGGTATGGCAAGATAATAAAAACTGATAGAGAAGGGAAGAGAGCTTAATTGTTATAACTGAAAAGAACATGAGCTCCTGCTGTCCAGTTGGCACATGGGGAATAATCCAATCATAGTGGATTATTCCTCCATGCTATTTCATGAATAAAGTTCTCCTTTTCCAGTGGAATATTCTGTGAGGATATGGGACAAAATCTTCCCAGCTGTGATAACTCAGACTGTGGAATGCTCTCCTCCAGTAGTGCCAATTATACCTTCATTCCAGCACTAAGTAAATATATGGCTTTATACTAAAACCTTTGGGGCCTGAGTTATTCCAAAATAATATGCCTAAGTTTTTAAACTATTTCAACCTATTTAGTCTGTTTTAACATTAGTTAGGGCCTTTGCAGACTGCCAGAAATAGTGCAAAATGAGTCCACTTTAACTGGCTCAGTGCTAGGGAATCATGGGAATTGTATTTTTTTCTGAGACATTGACCCTTCTCTGTCAGAGAGCTCTGGTGCCACAATAAACTACAGTTTCCATGATTCCCTAGCACTGAGTCAGGGCAGTTAAAGTGGACTCAATTTGCACTATTTCTGGCACTCTGCAAAGGACCTTAATAAGCTTTTAGTCTGTTTAAATTATTTTTATCACAATATCCAATCACTGGTCCAGCACCTGAACAACCCCAGCTGAGTCTGACAACAAGCAGAAACAGAGGTGAGTGTCAACAGTATGCTGTGTACAACATAGGTCCATGTCAGCACTTGGTGGTGATGCATGGTGAGAAGTTAATAGTATTTATTTTTCAAGGCTTCAGTTTGTTATAACTAGTGTTGCTGTCTTTATAGTAACAGTACTATACAGGACCACTGTACTTACAGTGATGGAGGCAATCCACTCCACAGTGATTTCATCCCCTCTCTTTGAACAATTTTCACAAAAGCATCCTAAAAGGCCAAATATAGAAACAAAAATAGTTATATATTCCTACCTGGATGATATAAATAGTTATATCATCCAGTGGTCTAGAAGCTAAAAAATGATTGTTTAAAAACGGCACAAAATATTATTCTGAAGTAAATATTTCACACAAAAAAATACTATACTGTAGTCTTCCAAACACACACACATTTTCTCCCTCTCTCTAGTTTGAATGACCTTAAAATAAAATCCTTCTCATTTCAAACAGTGACTTACTAAATGAGTCACAAGTATGAGTGGTTCCCCATTAAGCATTTGCCGATTTGATTATTCACAGATTACTATATTTGCTGCCACCTCCACTGCTAGCCTATAAACAAGTGGAAAAAAGTGTTCTCTAGGTATTTCTAGGGCCAGCCCTCCAGCACAATTGTATGGCCAACGTCCACCAGACATTGTCTATAGCAGAGGTAGGCAACCTGTCCCCTTTAAGGGCCGAGGGACTTCAGCTCCCAGAATCCCAGAAGCTATTGGCCAACATGGGACTATTGGCCAACATGGCTGAGGCTTCTGGGAGCTGAAGTCCCTCAGCTCTTAAAGGGGACAGGTTGCCTACCCCTGGTCTATAGAATCATGCTGGAGGACTTAAGTGTTTTCTGAGGTTAAAAGACTGAAGTGTTTTCTGAGGTTAAAACACACACACACTATATTCATGGCTTTTCCACTTTTGCAGGGATCCTGCACCCCTAATCCCCACAAAAGG